TATCTATCTATCTATCTATCTATCTATCTATCTATCTATCTATCTATTCCTCATAGTTATATCTTACTTTTCCTCCAGGAATTCAAAAGTAGTATAGACAATACTTCTTCCCATTTTTCTTAAGAAAAACTTTATGCAGAAGCTTGAATTAAAAGACAATGATTGATCCAACATCATCTAGTAAGCTTCATTGAGAAAGTATTTGCACTTCATTCTTTATGATCCTACATTCAACCAAGTTTCTTGATTCAATTACCACTTTAATCCATAATCCATAGCTGCCAATCTCTTTATGAAACACTATCAAGAGTAGAAAGTGAGCTTCAATACGTAACTCACAGACTGAATCTATAGCTAGTGCTTGATGTTAATAGTTGCTCCTAATATTAGAAGGCATGGGAGGGAAAGAATATTCTTCCCAGCCAAAAACCTGTCTATTTCCAAAACATTTAGATCATTATACAGGATCCTTAGTTTCAGAAAGAGGGTAAGGAACAAATAAATAGAGTAATAAATTAAATTTAAACAAAATAAAATAATATCAATAAAAAACAAATGGAATTTTGGTCGTAGCTGCAGCAAAAAAAAAATAATTTAGTAGCTTTTTTCCCCAGAAAGTGTGCAAGTACAGGACCTCTACTATTTAAAGCAACTACATCCTTTTTCAGGCTTGCTTGTAAATCTGTTTTAATGCAATGCCTAATCCAACTATTAAAATGCAGCTGCATCTTCTTCCAGACTTACACAAAATCCTGAAAAAAGACATAGCTACTTGAATGAGTGGCAGTTTATTGCTGCTTATATAAGTTTGATACATTTCTTCTGAATCATGTTCAAAGCATACACAATCATTTTAAAATCAGTTGTGGTTGGAATGAACTAGGTATTTTCAGACGTATAAAATATACTTTTCCTTTGGAGGTAGGTAGAATCTACTCTGGAGAAGCTTAATGTATTGTTCCCAGGCATATTCCTCCATGGGTACAGCGTAGCTTCAGGATTGTGGCAATTACAATTATTTCAACCTTTCCATTGAACATTAAAGTAGATGATCTCTGCTTAAGAAACAACTGTCATTTTCCAGCTGTCCTTAGTCACCCTAAAGCAATTAGTAACATTAAATGGCACAAGCACAGATTAGTATCAAAGAAGGAATCTCCATGTGTCATGTGGAATTAGGGATATGTGTTTCTGTCTGTGTCTCCCTGTAATCCTAATGATTCAGCACTGTTATTCCTAGGCTCATACAAAAGGAATAGGACAATCACTTCAAACTCTTGTGAGACAGAATGTTTTGTAACCAGGCTTCTAAAACAGATTTCAGTGATGTGTTCCAAAATTATATCATGTCTAGGCCTCTTAACAGAACAGCACGGACAATATTTGTAAAGCATGCAGAGATACACACGAAGCATCTCTTTTCTTCTTTTCATCAATATTCTAAGGGCAAAATCTCCCATTATGGAACCTGTGCATTTAAAGCAACAATCATTTTAAACAGATACAATGGGAAACAGCAAATCATGAAAGCCTATGATTTCTGAATATTGGAATGGTTTGCAAAGTTAACTGTTGTTAAAGATCAATAGACTCGGACACAAAATGTTCGTATGTCAGCAATTATTTTTAAATGACACTTTTCAGAATGGGATATGCATTATGCAGTAGAGTTGTTTTTTGCTACTCTTGCTGTATCTTCTTTTCTATGTATATTATTGTAATTTCATTCTTGAAAAGCAAATGAAGAAGAAAAGGGAATATGACTGTGAGTTTTGGAACCTGGCAGAGTTTATTAGCATCCTGATTTTGCTCCTTCATAGGATAGCAAAAAATATTGCAATGAGAGAGGTACAAAATGTTCTGGCAGATTATTGTAAAATAGTGCTGCTCACAGGTTTTCTGTTTGCCTATCATTTGTTGGATTAGAGGATCAGAACTGGGCAAAGCTATGCTCAAATCCTCACTAAATTACACAATTTCCAGGATGATTTTGGGTAAATCTCTGTGGATATAATTTACAGGATTTTTAGAAAGAAAAAAAGTGCCCTTCTTTGCAAAAAAAAAAGGTAGAATAGAAATAAGAGTTATTTAAAATTCTGAAAGAACACTTAAAAAAAACACATTACTTCAAAGCTACTTTGTAAAGCAGGGATGCCCACAGGAGGACATGATAAAAAAAATCATGATAGGTACCACCAGACTGCAAACAAAGCTTTTGTCTTTATGTATTGCATAAATCATGTGTGTTGTGGAACTTTGATCTCACTGATGTAGTCACTATCTTGATTTTTTTTTCTTCCTCACACCCTGAACATACCCATCTTTTGCAGCTGTGTGGCCCCTTTTCTTCTAAAAGCAAAATGTGGCTTGACCCCTCTCCATTTTTTCCACCCTATATGCCAAGTTGTGTGAAATACATCATGATGGTTAAAATTACAGGAGATTTATAGTAAAGACTTCACTGAGTTTGACTTCTGAAAGCTATATTTTTGGGGTGGGGAAAAATATAATAAGGGTTTCCCTTTGACTTTCTTCAGAAAGCTTTTTCAACTTCCCACTCTTAAGATTTTTCTAACTTCAGTATCTGATTTTTCTTAATTTGTTGGCAGTAGGAAGGCTGGCCAGTTGCTGCCAGATGGTTTAAATCCATATTCAGTCACAGGGTTTCAGTGATTCTGGGTATCTCCCCAATAAGCTGAAGCAGAACTTTAAAAATGATACACAACGTTAAACACGCTTCCTATTCTTCCACCTGTGATGCTCAAGATCACAAAGAATGAAAGAACACCCCCTGTAAACCCTCAAAAGAAATGGAAGATTTCTTTTGGATTTTTCAGTTATTGTGACCTTGAAGACCACAGGCAGAAGCACTGCACCTGAGATGACCAGAGTGATATGAAATTGCACAATTGGTGAAGGACCTTGGAGGTCATCTTGTTGATGCAGGAATTTTGTAAATATGACAGTGTCTAGACATTCCTTCAACATCGGCCATGAAGGAAAGCTCACCAACTACACAGGCAATATGTCCTAGATCAGTGTTTCTCAACTTGGCCACTTGAAGATGTTCAGACTTCAACTCCCAGAATTCCCCAGCCAGCAAATGCATTCGCTGGCTGGGGAATTCTGGGAGTTGAAGTCCGGACATCTTCAAGTGGCCAAGGTTGAGAAACACTGACCTAGATACAACAGGTCTCAGCCTTATGAATTTTTCTTGACATTGGCTATCTTAAGAGTGGTTAGAGTGCAGTACTACAGGCTACTTCAGCTGACTGCTAGCTGCAGTTCAGCAGTTCAAATCTCACCGGGCTCAAGGTTGACTCAGCCTTCCATCCTTCTGAGGGGGGTAAAATGAGGACCCAGATTTTTGGGGTAACATGCTGACTCTGTAAACCGCTTAGAGAGGGCTGCAAATGCACTATGAAGCGGTATATAAGTCTAAGTACTATTGCTACTATTAGCAGATATTTCTAGTCCTTTCTCTTTCGGGCAGTGTTTCTTAGGGCTTAAAGATGTCCAGTGATAGCTGGGGAATTCTCAGAGTTGTGGTCCACATCTTCAAATTGCCAATTCCTGAGAAGCATTGCCAGCAACTGAAACCAGGTTCCGCTCGAGAGCCCCAGTGTTTTCACACCTCTGTAAGGGCTCAATCTCCCCAGCTGTTACAACTCGACATTGGGTGTGTGTGTGTGCGCCCGCGAACTACCACCTATGAATCAGTCAACCTGCCTCGCACACAAGG